TCACTGACGCTACCGGCAATGTTGTCGCGGCTGGTGGAAAGGGACTCGGTGATGCGGTTACGGGTATTACGCAGGGTGCTGGTGATACTACTAAAGGTGAGTAGCTAGGTGTGCTTGTGGTAGCGGGAAGTACGAGGTTGGGAGAAGATGTTGCTAACATGCAGCAGCGGCGGGCAACTTCGTTGGCGACACGACGAAGGCTGGCGGCAGGAGCGTGGGTATGGAGCAGAAGGATAACCAGACTGGTGGACAGTAGAGGGAGTGAGAATGCTTCTCGGCGATGCCGGGAGTAAGATGGGTGATGAGCAAAGTCAATACTTACCCTTGAGGTTGGCATGATGCCAATAAAGAATGAAACAAGATAAGTACGAAGAATTTTTCCACATGGATGGGTGATTCGCGAGTACGCAGACTCTTTGGGCCCTAAATGTTATGCATCATAAGACTGATCACCCACACTAGCTTGAGCGCTTCGTGCATCAAGAGGTATAAATACCACCCTTCGTCTTTCCCAACCTTTCCTTCTATCATCCAATTCTTCCTATTCGCTTTCTCTAAAAGCTCGGACTGCTTTTCGATGAGTTGGTGTCGGAACCAAACTCCAAAAGCCCGACCTGGTTCGTTCATGGAGTTTCTGCCTGAACCATAAAACTCGGCTACAATGTCGCATGTTGTTTCCTGCCAACCACACTCCTACTGAGCTACTCCTAAAGCAATACGCTGGTCAAACATGTCCATTGCGTCGTGTGAACAAAAAGAGCATATGGGCATTTGATGTGGAAGTCCTTCGTGACAGACTGCCGATGTTGTGCAAAAACAATGTCTTCCGCGTTTCATGATCTTTTTTTTCGGCGGCTTCCAAAGCTAGAAGCTTCTCGATGCATGTCGGTATATACATATCTTCAATTCAGACCAAAGCGAAGTACGACAACCACATGAGGCGCACTTGCTGCCCCGACGGCTTCGCATCGCATCCTGAAGCTGTGCGCTCGCTGTATAAATACTTCCCTCTCCTCTCCTCACTTTTGCTCTGAATATCCACAGCCTTTCGGCCTTTTCAAAAACGAGTTTTGACCCACTAAATAGAGTTCTGCTCCTTCCGCCCTCCCAAAATCGGTCGAGTATATACTATGTTCTCGCCTGTCGCCTTCTCTTCTAGAACGGTGTACCTACATCGGCTATGGAACTTCGAGTCTTCTAAAATTCATCCTGCATCGTTCTATGAAAGAGTTGAGTTTCTCTTCCTACGGAACTAGAAAGGCCTTTCTGTACCCGTTATGTGCGCAAGCGTTCTTCTATATTGAGTCACCGCTACATTCTCTAAAATCCGGTTCGCTGGATCGATGCGCGCTGAGATGCCTTTTGCCGCTCGTATTATTCTAAAACATTGCGAAGTTCATGGAATGTTCTCTTCTTCTTCGGCTAAAAGTATACGATAACTGCTAGCTCATGTTGCTTTCGCGAGTCTTAATACTGGGGACTACTATGCAATGACTCTGGCGCATGGAGCTGTCTGTATATAAAGCATCTTTTCTTCAACTGTTCTCTTTCGTCTTCCAGATCTTCAGAAGTTTATATACTAAAAAAAGGAGGGAGAGGAGAGCATGGCTGCGGTCTCTCGCGCCTTCTCAAATCCGCCGCAAACAGGGTCATGTCTGTGTCCTGCTCTTTTGAAACTGGCTATTAATTACTACATGTGTCTTACAGTGACTGAGATACGTTCCTATGATGCTACTGAGCATATTTTCTCCAAAAATTACCCTACTACAGACATGTGCGGAGAATTCGACACTAGAAGCACATGTCGAGAAAGAATGTAGGCGTTACAAAGATGATGATGTCTTATCTAAAGCGTTTTATCCACGTCTTATGAGACAGCCGTCGTGACTGCTGGTAGGTGCACAATTTGGCTTTGCTGGCGATCTTCCAAAACGCAATCACGGCAGGTTATGTCGCCTATTGGATCTAGCGGCAAGAACACTAGTGCTATTTCACCTTTTGCGTATAAAGCTGCGTCTTTGAACTGTTACTGAATCTCAAAAGTACGACTTTCCAAACAAAACTCCAAAAGACACGGTGGAAAAGTTGATGAGTTTGGCTCTTTCCTCGCTTCCTCAAAACAAATCTATCCCAAAAGCTTTCCATGAGCCGCCCAATTTGGCTCGTCGCAATATGGGCTTAAGAGTATGTTCGCAGCGACAATCGCAAAAGATTGGGCAGTAGCGACATTGTTTAACTACCAAGATGCACATGAAAGTGGGATAGAAGAACCGCTCAGCCTCCTACAAGTGTAGAATGGCACCCTCGTCTGCCAATAAAACGTGCATGCATGCTACCTCTCGAAGGGTTTGACCGCGCGCGACCGGTCAAAACAGATCCGCGTAGGCGACCTTGGAGCATAGAATTGGTGTGAGATTGCCGTGCAGGCACAACGATATCCCGAAAATGGAGCAGGTCGTCTTGCTGCCAGAGCATAGATCCATAACTAATCAGCAAGATCTTAAGCCGCGATATCCACTTTCCGGAAGCATGTCGTTGGAACATAGCGGCCAACTGAGACAGCCAGGAAGTGCTTTGGAGATATGAACTTCCCACAGCTTCCAAGTCGACAATGATGTAGAGCTGAGGGAAGCTAGCGATCGTACGCGCTAAGAGGTCGAACCATTGCTCGACAGAGTCGGCTGCACGGAATTGCGCACAACTCAGCGCAAGAGAGCGTTCCGTCTGCTGTGAAATATTGAGCTGTATTGCCTGGCATATCAGCCCTTTGATAATGTCTACTGTCGATGCAGCAGATGCGCCATGCGCCGATACTGACTTCAGGGCCCAGAGTATGGGGACGGTCCGATTGCGCAGGTCATGTATGACGTCAACAGCAAACCCCTGGACTTGGAATCGAGTGCTGTACTCGCCTTTCACCATAATCATAGCCGGTGATGATGCAGACTCCCAGGCGGCAAACTTCGGATTTGACCAGAATTGCGACCCTGTCTCCTCTTTCAACCGACGGCCTCTGGTGCGAGCACTCATGAATGCGCGGTATTGCAGGGCTTTCAGCGGATCTAGCGCGTTGGCACCCGAGAGGAAATCCATGATCTGGTTCAGCTGGAGATCCGTCAGGCGGTGATTGGTGTCCAGATTCGCACTCGTTTGAATCGACTGGTACGCTGCGCATTGTTAGAAAAAGGATTGTTGACTGCAAGGATAGCCTACAGATGAGCAGGCCCCGCACTTCTTGTAGGGTCTCTTCCGAGCTTTTCAGCCTCTTGCCCAATTCCTGGATTTCCAGGTGCATATCGCGCTGCTCCGCCTGTGCGCCTGCGTTCGCCAATACTTCAATCGATCTCGTGCATTCTTCGACTTCTTGGACCAAGTCGTTGTAGTAGAGCTCGGCGGGTCGACTCAGGGCTTCCCACGCATGGCGCAGTTTGCCTTGCTGATACCAACGCTCCGCCCGAAGGAAGAACTGGATGATCTTACTGTAGATTTCGGATACCGCATGTCGCATGCGATCGGTAGGGTAGAGGATGTTTGCGGATTCTATGCGCGGTAATACGTCCGCGATTTGGCTTAGGCCTTTCGCAAGGACTCTGAGTTGTTTCCCGTGGTTTTCCACTAACTGACACGGACTGTTAGCCTGTAATTCGTACAGATCCAAAAGCGGTACGTACAACGAAGAGAAATTTCATTGTCCCCCAGGCCAGACTGACGTACTCAGGGTGATGCTGGACGAGGACGTCAAAGATCTGGCCATAATGGCAGATGCGCGACGATAGCTTTGATAACCACTTAGCAACCTTTTTATCCTCACGTTCCCGCTCGTACTTGGATCGCGCTGTATTGAGGATGCTTTCCAGGTCATTAAGACTTTGAAGTTGCTGGACTCTGTCGAATTTGGCGCAGGTGCGGGGATCCAGCTGGAAGACGGCAAGCGCCTCTCTAAAGGCATCCTCGGCTGAACTCGCAGGGGAGCTGGCCTGCGCATTCAAGTACCAACGACTTTGCGACTGCATTGAAGGTGATCAATCTCAAATAACGCACAATAGGTGTCTGCTGATGGGAAGTCGCATTATAGAAGCTTGCGATAAGCAGAGGATCCGGCTGAGAGGCACCATGTGGTACCTGGCGGGATGGTTGCCTCCATCCCGCTGAGGCGCAGTCATTCGGCCCCCAAATGAGGTATTGGTTGCATGCTCTGAGGCTGAGCGACAAGGCTTTGCCATATAAGCGCGCACCTGGGTGCGAACATCATCTTCAGATTCACTGCGTCGCGCAATCCATCGCAGCCAAACAACAATGGATCGACAAGCGCCAGCAACACTACAGTCAGCATCTGCTCGCAGCATCATCGTCGAGCCACCCAGAATTACGACTCATCGCGAGCCTCGGGGCCCCAACGACCGACGGAAAGTGCGAATGGAAGAGCAATGGGATGCGGAATCTTTAGCTGCTTTGAGAGGTTATGCTCCTCTTTCACGGGATGCGACGACCGCGAGAGTGTTAGATTGGCAGCATCTGAAGCACGAAAGCGAGCAGGATATTCCGAGGCGTTCTGACGCCACAGATACCTCGGACATCACCGAATCTGACCACGCAGTTGCTGGGCGGAATCTCACTGTAAGCGTTTTGAGTTCGCATTGTGAAATGAGGTATACTTACATTTGTAGAGCCGCGTTCACTTCCACCATCGTGACGGCCCAGATGCAGCATACGAAGATCAAACTCGAGACGCACTGCAGCACATGTCCTCCGACTCAAAGGGTCCTCACTACGTGGACGTTTCCCCGCCATCCACGGCATCATCTCGCTCACTTTCACCAGTACGATACCGTACCCGTCGGTCCCACATAGTAGAACGTTCGGACCATTCTCGGCAGAATAGACGTCCTGCATATGTAGAACCTGACCACTCGGATGATGATCACATTGCGAATGCGTCACGGTTAACTCCAGAAAAACAACCAGCTGAGCAGCAGCAATCTGCTCCATCACGTGCAACAATGTCAGGAGTGGTCATGGCTCGTACAAAACAAGAGGATAGTACATTCAGAGAGGTGTTGGACGAGTTGGAGGCTCTCAGGGTTGAAAACGAGCGTTTGCGACATGGAACCGGCGAAACATCCGTACCCTCTCAGCCTGCAGTGCTAGCGTATACCAGCAAAGTCTTTTACAAAGTTGGACAGACACTGTATTTGGATGAGCCGCGTTGGGAGCCCGCTGAAGGATCTGGCGTCGTGTTACTGGCTAACAATCCGATCCGGAATATTGATCACTATCTAGATCAACACCCCGAGATAGCCTTCGCCATCTACAAGGAATACAAACAGACCCCACCTTCGGATCGCAGTAAGATCGAAACCAAGGACGGTGTCTACCGCTCTCCTACACCCGCGCATGAATTCCTCTCGATCATAGCCGACGACATGCTGGATGCGGTGGAAGAGTTAGTCCAGCAGATACCTAAGTTTGGCGACTACTTCCCGTACTTCGACCCTGAAGGGCAAATCCTGGCACCGTATCTTTTCATGTATTACAGCGCACCGTTCATTCCCGAAATACTACCCGATCTGGATATACCCAGTCAAAACCTGATTAGGCAATTGCAATCCGCAATTGAAAAAAGCTATGGGTACGAATACGACTCAGCGAAGCTCCAAGCAGAGAAAGGAAGAGTATCGCGCAAACACCTCAAATATCTCATTCAACCTGGGGATGTCCTCGTTAGTAACGGATCAGGGGGCAACATTCCCCAGGCATGTATTGCTACAAGCTGGATTGAACGTCCAGAGATCACGCTCGACGAGTCTCAGTACGAGGAGTCCGACTTCATCCAGAGGAAGCGCATCCCAAGATATGGTCCTCTCGCCAATTCTGCATCCAGTCGCAAATTGATCACTTGTACTTGGCAGGTTCCGATGTGGTTCTGGGAATTCGACGGCTCCTTCGCAAAACATGAGGCTAGCATAGACATCAAGATGTCTCTGGGATATGAGGAAGAGACAATTGCAATCAGAGATCTCAATTTCTACCCTCTTCGATATGCGAGTGAAGAGATGAGATCACTGCTTGAGAAAAGAGGTAGGACATTTTGGTCGCTTCGAAACAGACAGTTTGTATCTTATGTGCGCTCTAAAGAAGACGAGCTCTACAACGTACGTGTACAAACACTAGAAATCTATAGAGTCTTGCAAGAACTAACAAACTCAACGTAGATTGAGGAAAGATATATGGTCGACACGAAGGCGTACAAAATGCTGTTTCCTCTTTCAGAGATTGCGAAACTACGCTGTGTAGATGATCTTGGCATCGCAGCCATGGCACGCGATCAACCGCCCGAAGACGGTGGTGCGCTTTTGGTCATGCCGGAGACTATCATGGCTCACAATCTGCAGGAGAAACACTGGAGAGAGCTTTTCGTCGACCGTATCACTGACGTAGTATGGAACAAGCAAGCTTTCAAGGATCTTGTCGCCGAACCAGAAACCAAGGAACTGGTGCAAGCGCTTGTTATGAAGCAAATCAACGCCAAGAAGTCGACGGACTTTGTGGCTGGCAAAGGCAATGGACTGATCATGCTTTTGCATGGAGCACCTGGAACCGGCAAGACATTCACGGCTGAGGGTGTTGCTGAGTTTGCAGAGAAGCCGTTGCTTCGTGTGACTTGCGGTGATGTAGGAACAGATGCTGAGGTTGTTGATCAGCGACTGCGCGCCACGTTCCAACTAGGGAAGATGTGGGACTGTGGTACGTTACCTCGCATGAATACAACTACAGGAATTTGCTAACGAGCGAAGTCGTACTTCTAGATGAGGCAGATGTCTTCCTCGAGGAACGTGACATGAAAGACCTGAAGAGAAATGCTTTGGTATCCGTGTTCCTCCGTGCCCTCGAGTACTACGATGGTATTCTGATACTGACTTCCAACCGCGTTGGTACTTGTACGCTACCCACGAGAACTTCCAGCTACACTAGTCTCGCTAACCAACAAACCTACAGTTGACGAAGCGTTCAAGTCTCGCATTCAGCTAGCCCTGCACTACGACAACCTTGGCCTTGTTCAGCGCAAGAAGATCTGGCGCAACTTCATCGCGCGTATGAAAACGCTCGATGAATCTTCTTCCGACGACCTGGAAGATATCCTCGACCACATCGACGATCTGAGCAAGGAACCGATGAACGGACGAGAGATTCGCAATGCGATCACTATTGCGAGACAGTTGGCCCAGTTCAGAGAGCAACCTTTCCAGTACTCACATCTCAAGCATGCTATCAACGTTGGCAACCGGTTTAGCAAGTATCTGAAGGATCTGAGAATGAACTACACGGATGACATGATCAAACAAGATAGCGGGATCAGGTTTTCCTATACAGCAGCACCGGCGGGAATTGAGTAAACAATGAGCAGGGCTGTCTCGGTCGCGTACGATGCACTTCGTCAAGGGTGGAAAGAGAGAGTTCGTTACCGAAAGTGACATGACGTGACCCAGCTAGACCGGGAAATATAATACATGCAACCCTTGTATCGCGGCGACTACTGCGATGGAAGCCTTTGGGATATCGCGCAAGAATGTTGAGATACCTTCTCATCTGCTAGCCATGGCCCATTCACGAGCGGCTAATCTCCACATGCCGACTAACAACAATGCTATCCTTGTTGTTATTAACAAACCGATCGTTCTTCTCCAAGATCTCCTTCTGACTCTCGCTATCGCTCGATACACTAACACGTCCCGCATGAACCTTGATCGCCGGCATATGCGTGTCCTGGTTGTCTGCGACCGTGCCGAGCTCGAGTTCGGTGTCAAAAGGCTTGTAGCGGTGCGAACGATCGGGGTTGCTGACACCGTGGGGTGTACCCGAGCGAGGCTGGTGAGAGCCGCTTGAGCCGAGGTGGAGGAGGCGCTGGAAGAGTGGGCGGAGGGTTGCGATGTTGCCGACGAGCATACCGAGCGCGGGTTCGGCGTAGCCCCAGATGAGGATGTTGGCGAGGCCATCTGGGAGTCACGTTAGTGTTGTGATGTGATGCGGGTCTGGGGTGCTTACAAAGATAGTCGTGACTGCTTGTCAGGCCAACGGTGTACTTCAGACGAACCAGGCCCGAGATGGATGTGCTGGAGCAATGTTAGTGGTGTACAAAAACCAGTCAGATTCATGGGTTGCCATACAAGATACCTAGGCTCAAGATGCCACCGACTGAGATCTTGGTGTTCCTGTTCATCTGAACGTTCCAGAGCAGAGCGATTGGCCTGGTCAACGTTAGTGCCTACTCGATAGCAGAATCTCGAGTAACTCACATGAGCGCAGTAGCCCAGTCTGTGAAGATGTTGACCGAAGTGCAGAAGAAGTAGACGTTTTGCAGATACACTGGCGGCTGGCAGTAAGTCCCTTCGGCCATGAGATCAGCCCTCCAAGCAGCCCTGAGAAGTATACGGTTAGCATTACCACGTGATGCCGGATTGCTTTGTACTTACTCCACCGGCCAACACTGGAAGATGATGTACAGGATCGCTGCCAAATTGGTCGCCGCGCAGAGACCCATGATGCCGTAGTTGATGTAGATGTAGACCATTCTCCTGCCAGCTATCCGGTTCAGCATGAAGGCGATGCTCAGCTTGACGAAGATGATGGATGTGCAGTAGAAGACCTCATAGAGGAAGAACCACTGAATATTGTTAGCGACCGACCAATTCCATGCTACACTGGATGATGACTCACGAAATATGCTGTCTCGACGTATTTCTGGTTGCCAGGCTTAGCAAAAGTACTGTCCTTGGCGCCGATGCCGTAATAGGAGCCGATGGTGGTGACGATGGTCAGTGTCATGAGAGGCAACTGTGGTGAGTGAGCTCAGTGTGTTCTCGACGACTGTGAAGGTTAGATACGTACGCATCCTACTGCCATAACCCAGTCCTCAAGAGCCCAGTTATGCTTGGTGATCCTGACATACGCCCGCATACCCATGGTGATGAAGGCAAGCAGCCCCGTCACAAGGACGGTCGCCGTGAGGTTGGGGCCTAGATCCTGCAACAAAGTCAGCGCCACTCAAGGCGTCCCATTTGGTTCAGCTTACCTCATGAAGTGTCATTCTGAATTACTTTGTGAGTTATGGTTGCCGTTCAGTACGTATTCGTTGTGTTGAGCTACAGCTGGTGCTCTCGAACAACTTGCGGAGTTGAATGGGGCCAGAGTGGGGAGAGGTTTGACATTCTTGGGCAGTTGAAGTATACAAACAATGCTGCAGAGACCAAGGTTCCAAGAGAATGGATGGAACGCTTTGCATTCACAGCTGGTATAAGATCGCCAAAGAATTTCCCGCGACCCCTTCACCCGCATGGGTGTGCATTCGGTCGATCAGGGCGCCGAGAAGACAACATGCAGAGTGGGTTCCGCTATCACGACATGTCTTACTGCCCCTGATGCTGCCATCACGATCTATCGTTTTCGGGTACCCGCATTCCTGTTAACGTCGTCACACCTCGGTATTCCGATGTGTGCGTCCTCGCTTCCGACATGTCAGATCCCCAGAGTTTGGACAAACATTGCCTACGAACATGTGTATCTCTGGTGAGGCTTGTCGGATCGAAGCCGCGAGTCGCTAGACGAATGAGTTTGTGCCGATAGCGATGTCGTTACGATTCGGACCGGATTGAGGAAATTGGGGGTTCTGCATCGATCTCAGGTGAATGTCAAAAACAGGGTCTGCATTCCTACGCTAGTCTCTAAGCGGAGAGGATCATCGCCCTCGTTCGCTCAAACATTCCCAACGGGCTTCGCTTGGGACGTTCCGCAACCTTAACACCTCACTGCCGACGCCCCGGTGTCAACATGCCAACGCTTTTATTACATGGTTTGCTATGGCCAAGTCGTGCTTCATGGGTGGGGACACGACGAGGCGATTATCGCAGCCCGAATGCGGGGCCTCTGGCCCCAGAGCCTCGCATAAGTTAACACAGTGGACTGTGGTACTTCTAGACTCTGATTAGTATCTTTGCGTTATCTTGCTACAGCGGATTCTCCGTATCACTTGTATCATCCGAACTCAAAGCACATTCACGATGGCCGACCTCAGCAAGCTTCCGAAAGACTTCTATGTCACGTCTATGCAGTTCACGAAGAATGCACACCAAGACGCGTACCCTGCCATCGATCCCAGTACCCCAGAGCATAGCCTGGCAGGAAAGGTGGCCGTCATCACTGGCGCTTCGCGTGGTATAGGAGCCATGGTATGTTGAAACAATTGACCGAAAACGCTCCCCTTTCGCCATGAATTCGCGTCATTATTGCGTCTGCTAAGACTTGGTCTCACAGGCAATGGTACCTGCCTTCGTCAAGGCCGGTGTAAAGGGTGTTGCGTTGCTGGCATCCAACGCCGAAAAGCTAGCAGCTACCGAGAAGTCGGTCAAAGAGGCGAACCCCAACATCGAAACGCTTACATACGCTCTCGACATTTCCGACACGAAAGGCGTCGAGGCCGCCTTCGAAGCGATCCGGCAGAAATTCGGCCACGCGGATGTCCTCGTCAACGCAGCCGGCGCCATGACTGGAGACGGACCGAAACTGCACGACACAGACCCCGATCAATGGTGGAGGAACTTCGTAAGATCCGTCCCGTTCGCTGCTCATCCCGCAGTGCCTGAGTCAAAAGCGCATGAACTGATACATCGATTGTAGGAGATCAACGGAAAAGGCAACTATCTGCTCATCCGCTCTTTCCTCCGCCTACTGCCCAGCCCCGACACACCTGCCACGATCGTCAACGTAAGCTCATGGCAGGCGTTCTTTACTGTTCCGCCGCTTGGCGCCTACTTCATGTCGAAGTTCATCCTTGACGCGTTGGCTACGTACGTCGCTGCGGAGTACCCGAATGTTACCGCCGTGTCGATGCATCCGGGTCTCGTCGCAACTGACATGCTGCGTGAGCCCTTCCGCTCGCTCTTCAATCAAGATAGTCCCGAACTTGTTGGTGGCACTGCTGTTTGGCTGTGTCAAGAGAAGGCGAAGTTCTTAAGCGGTCGCTTCATCGCTGCGAACTGGGATGTGGAGGATCTTCTTAGTCGCAAGGCAGAGATTGTCAAGGACGATTTGCTCAAGCTGACATTGAAAGGAGACTTCGGTGTATGATTTCTATAAGCAGCAACATCGTATGATGAACTTCAATGCTATGATAGAACTATCACATTTCCGCTGATGTGCTGACTCATGCGAAAATGGATAGTGGTGTCATTCCGAACGTCGGAGCTCTGGGTGGCACTAGCGCACCGGAGAAGTCGTCCCCACCCATAAACACCCTTCAGTTGAGCTACATGCTTTCCTTCTACAAAATTTCCATTCTATACTCAAAAGAAGAAGATGCGGACGATCAAGTGTGCGGCTGTGAGAACTCCGCCGGCTCAACAATGCGCCGTTCGGATTTCATGTGCTTCGACTTCTAAAAACTGAACGCATTCCCCCATCACCTCTGGTACCATTGCAAAAGTACACCACAACAAGTACGATAATGTGAATTGTTACACATATAGGACGCATCCAACAGCCACCAGCATTCCCGAGACATATTCGTGACGCACACGATCCAAAAGGACCACAATCGACATGTATGGGAGTACGGATTAGGAGTCGGGATCATTCTTCACACCGCTAAAGCAAGTGGCTACACGACCTCTCTCTTTGTTCTATCACTTTATTCTTCATAAATTTCACCTATGCTATCAAAATCGGTCGGGAAATACCATATGGTGTGTCCGCACTGTGGCCCAATTCGAAATTCACTCGCAAAGTTCTTATGTCTTCGCTCAAATTGGCCGACTACTAGAAGCCAGACAGCGCATAAAGAATCCTTGTCTCCCTTCTCTCCCTCTATTCATAATTCATACAGCACGGGCACATGGATTTCGCCGACTGTGTGGTGGCCTCACTCCAGAAATGAAACGGACTAGGTCTCTGTCCATGAGCGGACGAGCGCTGGTGGGGCGAGTATATAAACTCTCGCTTTTCCCGACAGCTTATCCTTCTATATTCATCAGTCTATCCAGAGAGTTTCAAAAGCTAAGGGTAACCTCTTCATGGCGTGCTGTCGTCCTTCCTTTTCAAAAAGTCTACCCGAACATCTTGATGAGCATTTTTGAGCACCAGTCTCGGTCTACCAAAAGCCTTTTCGCATGGCCTTATGGTCGTGCATCTACACTACAAGAACATGTCATGCTGAAGAGATGCGAAACTACCCGCCATCTCATGCGCTGACACTCAGTGAATCTAAAAGTGGTCGCGGCTATACTCATGAGAATTGGAGAGTATAAATGCTTTCTAGTCGTCCGCCGCTCTTTTCCTTCTGCAACCTCCACTTCAAGTTTTCCTCAAACAGTCGCTGAAGAAGCTTATGGAGAGCTGCCTGCGTCTCCGCCCATACATCGATTCCAAAACTACAATAACCTGCCTCATGGCCTTCTCTCTCGTAGCCAGATGGCAACAGCGACACATCAAAATGCGGTGGCTTCGCATGAGCAAGACGAAAAACAATTTGGAGTCTACGTATGCGAAGCGTTCTGATGATTTCAATTCTTATACCTGGTTTCCCGAAAAAGACCACGCGAACCAGTCATGCGTGGTGTGAGCTTCTTCCAGCTCATATAAAACCCGAAGTCGCTTGTCTTTCTACTTCCCTCCACTTTCTGTTCAAAAGCCTCCATGCTCTTCAAAATCAAGATTCTCGAATGCTATGTGTGGCTTTCTCCTCCTCCAAAACAATAACATGTATGCGTATGAGCATCGTCTCTCCGACCTTTACGAACACACTCAGTACCCATAAGAAAAGACGATACCGACCAGACATGTGTGCCAAACGCTCAGTCGCGCAGTAAAAAACCTCGTCTCCGGCCCTTTCTGCCTCAAAGCTCCTCTTACTATCGGCAACTTCCGTGCATTCTCCAAAACCCAAGTCGCACAACCACATGCTGTGCGCGACTGCTGCGCGTCTTCCAAAGTGACTTTTACCACTACACAGGAAAAGCGGCTTTTCGATTCAGATTTACATACAGAGCATCAACAAAACAACCATCGATCGCATTGATGTGCGAGTAAATCGTCTCTAAAATAGCATATAAACCTGCGCTCGCTGCCCCTTCTGGACTTTCTCTCTACACCTACGCCTTTTTCGAATTTTACCAAAATTGCAAGGAAAACACTCGCATGTTTTGGGTGCTGTCGTCCCCTTCAAGCCAGCCTGAGTCTTCACTTATGAGAAGCTTGAATCCACCTTTTGCAAAGACATCGAAAACCTAAAAAACTATCGACACGTCTACATGTGCGCCTGCCAAGCGACCAAAACATTATAAAACGCCGCGCTCGCCTGCCGATATCTCTTCTCTACATTCACGATCCTCTTGCATTATCCAAAAAGTAAGAGCGCTGACGTTCATGATCCTGTCCTTTCCGAGTCAAAACATGGCGCTATTTCGGCATGTGAGGATTGTTCCTCCGACTCCCTCGATGAAGACACCGGGTACCATAAACTTCGCCATACAGCATCCATGTGGAATGGACAGGTGGACTGAAGCTACATGTCGACGTATTCATGGCTCTCCTCCCGCCTTCTCCTGAAACTCCACTTCTACTTTCTTCAGTACAAAAAGATCGTCCCTTACTTTGGATGTTGCGCAAAGAGCCATCCCTCTATTCCAAAAAGAATTCGAGACTGCGATATGAAAAGCGCCCGTTCAACTTTTCAAAACAGCATTTCGAGATTGAAAAGAACGAAGCAGATATGTATGTGCAGCGCATAAGCCTTCACACGGGTATATAAACCTCTTCTCGCCGCTTCTCTGCCTTCTTCTGTACATCCACCTCTACCTTCAAAACTCCAAAACAACTGAGGTCCAGCCTGATGTGGTGCGCAGAGTCCCATACCTCTCTTACTAAGAACCATAAAGTGCTTTTGCGATGGAGATCGTCTTTTCAAGCTCTCTATCAACATACCCACTACCAAAAGAATTACGGCGAAGACAACATGTGCGGTCGGCACGTGGATGAAGAGGTCTAAATACCTCCGCTCGCCTCTCTTCTTCCTTTCTCTTCATTATCCACATTTCCTTCTGTTTCTCCAAAACATCGGTGCGCCCTCACATGGTGTGTGCAGCTGCGCTTCTCTAAAAACGTGAAGCCAAGTGGGACATCAGCTGTGTTCTTCTCTCCAAAAATACAGGAGAACGAGAACATGAGCAGTGCTCTTCTTTCCAAAAGTTCTTCACGAGCTTGCGATGAGGCGTGCTCGTCTCAAAATAACAGACGAACAGCGTATGTGGTGCGTGCTGTTGTGCTGTTTTCCAAAAGCAGCCGCAAGAGACCTAGATGCGGTGCGTCCGTTGGGGTGTTCCGCACCCTTCCTAAAAGCCACCATGTCTACGCCGATGCTTCGTCCGCTTGAGTAATGAACGTGGAGACGATAATTGGGTCTGTGGACTGTGGTTTCGACCGGATCATAGTGTCGTGAGGATGGTGATCATCATCATCATCAAGCTATGTCAGTGGTCACACATCGGCGGGGTAAGCTGTCAGCGCCACGCGCCACCGCCCTCACACCATCACGGCACGAACCAAAATCACACCACCATACACAAAACAACAGATAATCAAAGACCAAACAAACTTTCATAAGACGCATCGCTTGATGATGTTCGGCTTCCATCTATCTACAAACCTATCATGCACAAACGTGGTCAGCCAGCAAAGGGTTCATGCTGAAAGAGTTTAAATACCAAGAGTGAATTCGACACCGACGTCAATGTCGCGCGCCATCTTGACGACCTTTGAGAACTGGACGGACTTCTCAGCGGCGGCTTGGAGATCGTCAATGGAGAAGATCTTGAGGCCTGAGTCGTTGAGCTGGAACATGATGTGTTAGCATGAAGGTATATTAGACCAGATCTATTGGCGTGACTTACAAGCTTGTGAGCAGCCTCCATGTTGGTACCCTGCAACCTAGCAATGACAGGAGTCTTGAGGTTCATCTCGTTGACGACCTGGATGAGACCCTTGGCGATAGCGTCGCAACGGACGATACCACCGAAGATGTTGACGAAGATGGCAGTGACCTTGGGGTCGCTGGTGATCAAGTCGAACGCTTGCCTGATAGCCTCAGGTGTAGCACCGCCACCAACGTCGAGGAAGTTAGCGGGCGCGCCGCCATTCAGCTTGATGATGTCCATGGTGGCCATGGCGAGACCGGCACCGTTGACGAGGCAGCCAATGTCACCGTCGAGCTTGATGAAGTTGAGGCCAACCTTGGCGGCCTTGACTTCCTCAGGGTCCTCCTGGGTGATGTCCCTCCATTCGAAAACCTCCTTCTGGCGGAAGTCGGCGTTGTCATCAAAGTTGAGCTTAGCGTCCATGGCGAGGACCTGGTGGTCGGTAGTCTCGGAGAGAGGGTTGATCTCAATCTGGGTAGCGTCCTTCTCCATGAAGACCTGGTACAGCTTCTGGATGGTGTCCTTGGCGTCCTCGATGCACTGCTCTGAGAAACCGAGCTCGGTCGCGATGTTGCGGGCAATGTCGTCGGTGACACCCTTGTGGATGTCAATGGGGGTGGTGATGATGGCCTCGGGGTGCTCCTTGGCAACAGTCTCAATGTCCATTCCACCTTGCGACGAAGCGACGATTACGGGTCCTTGTGAAGCGCGGTCCATGAGGATGGCGAGATAGAACTCGCGGCGGGCGAACTTGCGGTCGACGATGAAGACGGAGTTGCAGAGCCGACCGGCGGCTCCAGTTTGCTTGGTGATGAGCTTGTGGCCGATCATCTGGTCGGCGAGGATGGAGGCTTCGCGGGGACTGCATGTTGTGTTAGAGGGTGGCCGGGGTCGTGTTATGGTTGCGAAGTAGCATACGAGTAGACGACTCTGACACCGCCCTTGAAGCCATTGTCAAAGGTACCCTTTCCACGGCCTCCAGCGAGAACCTGGGCCTTGATAACAGCATCCTCTCCGCCTGCGCGCATTAGCCCACGACTCTGCATTCACTCTTGCTGTCGCATACCAATCTCCTTGGCGATCTTCTCTGCCTCGGCGCCGCTGGTAGCGACACCACCCTTGGGCACGCCGATGCCGTACTGAAATTCGCATTAGATATCTGGACCCTCGAAATTGGTGGACATGCGGTGGAGTAATCGTACCGACTCGAGCAGGGCAGCGGACCTGTATTCGTGGATGGCGAGACCTCTCCTTTGCTGGACGACAGAGCGCTTCAACGGTGTCTCCTAGGCCGTGTTAGCACATGACCCCCCAATGTGGTGCACGCTGCGTAAGAGGCTTTCGCAGCTTTGCGGAGTAGGCCCGTGTACATACAGCAGCAGCGCGGACAGCGCGAGCCAGCGGCCGGGCGCGGGCAAAGTTGTACATGATGTCTGAGCGGCAGACACACGTGTGGGTATATGGAGGCGAGTTGGAGGGGGTAGAGCTGGAGTGCACAGCTCCGTTGGTGTTGCGGCTTCACAGGGCTGTTGCGGACGTCTGCTAGCGCGCCGAGAATGAACCGGGTCCTCTCAAAAATATCGCGGCCGGGAACTTCTGTAACACCAAGCGACTGGAACTTGATGCGCGTCCAAGTAATCGCGCAACCATGTCTAAACGAAATAATGAGGGCGATGTCATCGCGAATCGCATAAGTCTGCTCGAGGCAAAGGGTCAGAAACTCTTGGCGTCGTTGTATGGTTCGCGGCCGGACTGGGGCACTGCGGATGGTGATGCGAAAACAGAAGTTGAAGACGATGATCAAGACCTGAAACAAAACTACGCTCACGACAGGTAAATATGTGTTGTTGCGCTGCCGATCGCAGTTCTAACAACGTCTCCAGAATCGGTGTTGGCGGCATAGTCCCCAAGGATATCGAAGATGGCAGCTTCACCAGCAGAATACGAACGTCAGACGACAAACTTCTGCAACAACTGATCGGCAAGAAAAAGGCCAAAGCTCATATCACTGCGAAACAAGAAGCTGCGAGACCAAATGCAGCATCCAAAGCTCAACATTACAAGAAGCTTGCTGCGAAGAAAGAAGAATCGGACGATGATGAAGAGGGAAGGGCCGCGACATTCAAATCTAAGAGACAGAAGAAGGTGAAGCAAGAAGCGAAGCCGCCGGACAGCGACGACGAAGATGAAGAGACGAGAGCAAAGAGATTGGGAGGTGGCGCTGTGAAAGAAGAGGAGGATGTACCAAAGGAGGACGTAGCTACAGAAGCCCAGGTGGACGCGAAACCTATCAAGAAAGAAGAGGAGGGAGAGGAGGACGCAGAAGCCATCCAGCCAGCACCCAAGAAAGCGAGAACAAAACCGAAAAGCTTCCTCGACGAGATTCTAGCTGAGCGGTCAAAGAAGAAGAGTAAGAAAGGAAAGGCATAGAGGATAGCCACAGGAGCGGAAATAGCGATGCATATACCACGGCGTTAGTATTTGTATTCATTCGATACCCACTTCTTGTTGAGGAAGGCACATGTAATCTAATAGAACAAAGGCATGCTTCTTATCCGCGTTCTTTCTTACTCCCTAATGATCAAACTAGCCATGCCCATTCCCGTCCCAATACACTTGCTCAACACACCAACCTGCTCACCACTCCTCCCCATCTCATTCAACAGCGTAGCCAACATCCTACCACTCGTCGCTCCCAACGGATGCCCCAGCGCAATAGCCCCTCCATTCGGATTCACCTTATCCATCTTGTTTTCCAACCCCAGCGTCCGAATGCAATGCAACGCCTGACTAGCAAACGCCTCGTTGATCTCCCAGACATTCACATCAGATGTTTGCAGGCCAGTGTAGTCGAGCAGCTTGGGTATGGCGAGGGCGGGTCCGACACCCATTTCGTCGGGCGAGCAGCCAACGACTTGTGTGCCCGCCCATTTCCCGACGATCTGGGATTCCAGACCGAGGGTCGTAGCGGTAGACCGACGCATCATCAACGCTGCAGACGCGCCGTCGGAGACTTGACTGCTGTTTCCCGCTGTACTTGTGCCGTCTTTGATAAACGCAGGTTTCATCTCCGCGAGTTTCTCGACTGTCGTCCCAGGCCTGATTCCATCGTCCTTCGTCACGGTGATGCTCTTTGTGTTCTCGGGGACTTCGGGCTCAATCCAGCGGGTGGTTACGGGTACGATTTCGTCGTCGAAGAGACCACTTCTCCGTGCTTTGGCGGCGCGCTGTTGCGATTCGGCGGCGAAGGCGTCTTGGTCGGCGCGGCTGACTCCGTAGCGTGATGCGACGTTTTCGGAGGTTATGCCCATGGCCATTATGCAGTCTCTGGCTTCCTTTACTGGGCTGTCTTTCATCTCGGGCCAGAGTTCGGTGGGTACGGCCCTGCTGCCGTAGTTTCGTGTCATGCTCTCCATGCCTCCTGCAATGCCGACGTCTATTTGTCCTACTGCGATTGAGTTCGCGATTGAGGTTATGGCGGAGAGACCGGATGCGCAGGCGCGGTTTACGGTGCTGAAGGAGGTTGTGGTGGGTATGCCGACGTGGTTCGCGGCCATGCGACCGGCTTTTGAGCCACCGAGCTCTGCGAGAACGGTACCAACACATATATCGTCTATCTTCGCGGGGTCGAGGTTGGGGAACTTGGCCATTGTGGCTTTGAGAACCTGGGATGCTGTTAGGACTTGGGTCTGTGTGCTGCAGGTGTAGAGAACGGCATACCGCTCCTAGAAGCTCATGCTCATATGCATCGCGCAGTCCACCCTTCTTCGCTCTTGTGACTGGCGTCCGAAGTGCTGATAGGAAGACAACATCGTGGGGGTTCTTTTGGAGAATGTTCTTGAGACCCTTCTGGATGAAAGCCATTGTGAGACGATGGGCTGTGATGGAACGCTAAAGGGCAGAGGAGGGTATCAAGAGAATAGGAAAGGCGAAGTGAAGTAACGTCGATGCTTGCGAGTAAGAGACAGAATGTCCTGGCTTTTGCCGCGCGACGAGGCCATGGTCGTTGTAAGCTAAGCTCCAGGTCCGAGGAAGGCGTGGAGCTTCGCTTCGGCAAGTGAGCGCGGGGCGGAGGAATGGCGGCAAAGCTCTCTTCCGCATCATGCACGGAAAACAAACCCGCCGCATGGAAAAGGCTTATGCATATGCACGATGATAGATGTAATTCGAGACGCTGTAGGATGCTGCAAAGAAGACAAGTCGATTTTGAAGATTTAGCTCAATCTACCTGCGTAGAACTCGTGAGTAGCTACACTCCCAAAGACGACTGCGTCAAGCATCGATCCTCGATCCCATCCGCACGTATGTTGCCTCCGCCAAAATGCTCAAAACTCATAAGAAAATCGCGTCAGTCGTGTTCAAAGTCGCTAGGACTCGATGACTCTCTCTGCATGCCCCCGAAGTCACCGGTATGGTGAAATCAAGCTCAAGAGCGAGCGGATAGCCTACGCGGCGGGGTATACGAGACGGAAAACGTCGTTCAGAACAAACCAGTTGCCATCAGCGTTCTTGAGCTGGAAGGCCTGGGTGAAGCTCATTGGCTTGTCCTCGCCCGCAAGCTGTTCAGTATTAGTCAAGGCCGGATGTAACGATCCATGGGAACGACTTGCCAAAAGCGCACCAGTGACGAGCACAAGGATACCGTCATCGGCGGAAGGCTGAGCGTCAACGGTGTCGGTACGGTGTTGTATCTGCTGGAATGGCAGGTTCTTCCCTGCATTAGCCCCGTCCCTGTTTTGTAGGCAGGATCGTCGTTACCTGGAGCTTCTCTACAATGGCAGCGGAACCCTGAGTGCCTTGCGCCTCAAAGGTGAGCATAGAGGTCTCCTTCTATAGCATTTGTCAGCCGACTGCTGCTTTGCGCACACGGTACTGAGTCGCATACGTATAGGGCACCGAGACCAGCGCGGTTCTCATCGAAGGTCTTGTAGTAGAACTGGACGAACTGCTCTGGAGCAAGGGTCAGTCGCGATTTGAGGGATGGAGCGATCGTGGAGAGGATGTCGGCGGGGTTGTGTTTGCTGTATCTGGTGGTACATACGGGCGATGGCGTTGAAGTCGGCTGTGGAGGAGTCAGTTCTGCATTGTACACATAGCATTGCGACATGACCGTGAACATAGCATTATGCCTTGGATCTCCCGCATCTTTCTAATACAGCCTTGCGCCTACAACCGGAAGCTATGCACGTCCGCCGAGTGCGCATCGAGGCGGTGGTGGGGTAGTGGTAGGCAACTTACACATCTTTGCGATTTCTCGAACAAGACTTGTCAGGTGAAGAAAAGAGTTGGCTACGGGGTGGCTGAGAGGTACGCGACGACGATAGAGCGATGTGACGTGGAATTCTCGAGAAAGTGTTTGGGCTTTTGCTGTCACTGCCCGCCATCGATGGGCTTCGTTGGTGGGGCAGCCGCTAGGCTTGGAAGAGTTCGGCCCGGTTTTCAGCCGAAGCCTGCCATTTTCTTCGAGGCTTCGCGCCTGCTCTTTCCTCTCACACCAACGCTGGCCATCAACAGCTTCATGCAGCACCCATGTTGTGGTCAGCGTCGCGTCGCAATACTCATTGGTAAGTCATTACTATCTCTCCCAACTCCCTGCATTATGATGATCAACACAAACGATAACTTCCGAGTCAAAGACGGTGAAGTCCAAAAAATTTCAAGCTCAACAGGCTGATTGCCCATACACACTCTGTATTGTCTATTACATGGAGATTGCATATGCTAACATGTCTTCTTCAGATTGCCATGCACGCGACCGATGCTTTGCCGCTCAAACAAGCGCGCCGTCCAAATAGTGTACATAGTCAATCGAATACCGTTATTGTCGTTCATCCTTCCGAACAATCGATCTACAATTTACAATCCCTTCTTCTGGAAAGACTTGACAGAGTCGACAATCGACTGCTCGAAAGTCTTGTACTTGAGGCCAAGGATGTCGATGGAGCGCTTGTTGTTGTATGTGTAGAGGCCCTTCTCAGGTGTGCCTTCTGGGTAGTCACCGCCGGGTGTTGAGTCGCTCGGCAGGTCCTTGAAGTCGGGGAAGTTCTTCTTGATGATCTGGCATAGCTCCTTGTTGGAGAAGTATCCGGCCGTCACGAAGAAACGCTTGTTGGCTGCGTCTGGCTTCTCGAACGCAGCTACGTGTGCCTCCGCGACGTCGCGAACGTCCACCCACAGATGTACACCACTGGGTGGGATCTCGTCCTTGAACTTGCCTTGTGCCGCTGACAGGATGCGCTGGTTCGAGGTGTTCATGTTCTCAAGACTGTCAAGAGCGTGTACCTGATGACATGTCAGCGATTGTATCGCAGCGTGCATTGTGAGACTTACAATCGGTCCAAAAACCATCGGTGGGTTGATCGTGGAGACGGTGAAGTTGGGCTTCTCCTTCTCAACAAATTCCCACGCAGCCTTCTCAGCAAACGTTTTGCTTGCTCTGTATCCCATCATTGGGTTCTCTGTGGCCTCTTCTTGTGTGATCGGGTTCCAATCCTCCTCGGAGTATGCGTGTCCTGGCCAGAATCCTTTACTTCCGTTTACAATGGCGGCGAACGAGGATGTGATGACAACGTTCTTGACGGATGGCTACACGGTACCATTAGCATGCGAATGGCAGTCGTGAACTCCTCAAGTCCAACATACCGCGCTCTTCTTGATCGACTTCAAGATGCCAGTTGTTCCAATGACAGCAGGGTCAATCAGGTCCTTGATCTTGTTAGCCAGCTACCCATGTTTCGTCTACCAAGCGCACTCACTTTCTGAACATCAGTGACATTGAAGTGGAACGGGCTAGCAGTGTGAAGCACAGCCTCGAATGGAGGGTCTGAGATAACAGCCTTCTCGAAAGCATCTGGTTGAGCGATATCCGGAACAATCGCGAAGCTCAATTGGCCCTTGTCGACGTAGCTCTTGTATGATTCCTTGATCTTATCCGCCTTCTCCTGGGTGCGCACTGTGGTGACTACACTGTGTCCATGGTCTAGGAGGATGTCGAGGGTGTGCGCAGCGATGAAGCCGCTTCCTCCTGTGAGTAGTACTCTTGTCATGTTGTTTGTAGGTAGCGGGGTCTGGTGTTTAGGTGTTTAGGTGCTTAGGGCGTCAAAGTCTAGACTTGAAGCTGTGCGGGAATGACAGCATATATGTAGCTATGACATCCCACCTAGCGCGGGGTAGAGCTTCCCCGAAGTTCGGATTTACTCTTTTTCGCCGTTGTAACTGCCGCCGTCGCTTACGAAACTTGCGTTCGTTCGTGGCTATATCCGCGGCTCGTTCTCCAGAGTATTGCGTCATGCCCGTCATTCATCGATGGGATACTTTTGGTGGGGCATACTGCATCTTCGTGTCGCCTTCTCGTGGTACAGCGAACAATTGCTGATCTGCAGCTTCCGGTCTCTTTGGCTTTCCAAAAGGACTGTGGACCTCCCAATACACCCCACAGCATAGCCATATCTTCATGTTCGACTGGTCGAAGCTGCCTTTTCACACCTTGCGCGCCTGCACACCCTGAACGAACCCGCGGATCTTTCGTGCTTTGCGATTAACTTGGGAACCGAAAATGCGCACTCGCAGTAGGAGGTGTAGACATGTGAAGAAAGGATGACTTGGAAGTTCGCGGCTTCCAAGTTTCCTTGTAACCACATGGCTCTCGGCGTCACATCGGGTGGCGCGCCTCTTATCGAGCAAGGGCCCCACCATAGCTTGAGATGCCTCCCACATGGCTTACCCGCCACCCTCAATTACTCTTCCAATCCCATCGACGCTTCATCCTCTAAGCCTCGCTTAGCTGCTCCCGGCGTCTGAACATGGATATGTCGGGGCTGAGAAAGGGTCCAACGGTCATTAAAGAGCGGCGTGTGATTGCGGGGCAAGTGGACATGATGAGGGGCAAAGTTTTCTTCTGTTCCATTGCTTCGTTCTGATTACTCGTTCTTTCCTGAGCTATTCATACTATCGCATTGAAGATGTCGTCACTCAAGAGAAGCCCTCCATTCCGCGCCGAGCACGTTGGCTCATTGCTCCGCCCACAGGAGCTTGTGCAGAAGCGCTACGATGTTGCCTCTGGTAAATCAAAGCCAGAGGAGCTCGTTCCTTTGGAGGACAAGTCTGTCGCAGAGGTCGTCAAGTTCCAGCAGGAGTGCGGATTGAAGGTTGTGTCGAGCGGAGAGTACACTAGGTCAATAGTCCCGATGCTGCTAGTCCGAGTCTAGACTGACCATTCATGCAGGCACATGTTCTGGGGTACCTTTTTCGAAACACTTCATGGCATGAAGGAACTCCAGCTTGGCGTTTTGAAGGGCTACAACAAGGACATGTTCCGCGCCTATGCGCCGGACGTCAAGTCTTTCATGGAAGCGAAGGAGGTGCCGAACCATGTCACCGTCTGTGTCGACAAGATCAAACACCCTGGCACTTCAAGCAACCAGCGTGAAGTGGACCTGATGAAGAGCCTTTTACCCGAGAGCGAGTGGAAGAACATCAAGATCACACTGATCTCGCCATCCTGGTACCACTTCCGTTACATGAGCGGAAGAGCGTACCCCAAGGAGATATATGCGAATGACGAGGAGTACTTCGAGGATGTCGCAAAGGCATACCAGGAGGAGCTTAAGATTCTCCACTCGCAGGGTATCAGGAATATCCAGATCGATGACCCCAACCTGGCCTACTTCTGCTCGGAAGACATGCTTGCAGGCTGGAAGGCTGACACAACAAACGAGAAGACTGCCGACCAGATGTTTGACGCCTATGTCAAGTTCTACAACAAGTGTTTCGAGCGCCCTGCAGACATGCATCTCGGCATCCACTTGTGCCGTGGTAACTACGTAGGCAGCAGACATTTCTCTGAAGGCGCATACGACAACATCGCAAAGAAGATGTTTCAGGTACGTTCATCTCCTTGTTCACAATTATGAAGTGCTGATCTTGGTAGGACTTGAACGTGGACACGTACTATTTGGAATACGACACACCACGTGCCGGAGGATTCGAGCCGCTAGCGCATCTTCCCAAGCACAAGAACGTCGTGCTTGGTGTAATCACATCAAAATTCCCCAAGCTCGAGGACAAGGACGAGATGATCGCCAGGGTGAACCAGGCCGCTGATTGGATTGCAAAGGGCACCGGCCAGTCGCGCGAGGACGCCATTCAGCAGTGCTGTGTCAGCCCACAATGCGGTTTCGCATCACACGCGGAAGGCAATTCGCTCGGTTACGAAGACATGAGGAAGAAGCTGCAACTAGTCAGGAGCATTGCGGATGCCGTGTGGCCAGGCCAACCATAGACGCGGGAATAACAGATAGGGGAGTTTTCGAGAAGGCGCAGGTACCGAGCGACAGAACGTAGGCCTTAACGCATGCGACTAGAACGAGCATTAGAAGGTGTTGTGGAGTCAGCCGAATGCCGAATTCAACATGGCGTTCGTACGGTGGGTGGAGTCGTAGTTGAGTCAGTTCACTCTGTGCCTCGTGGCGAAAAAGAAAAAGGCGGTTCCTGCGGCAGTGCATCTCGCACCACGTGGTATTCCGTCATCCTTCTCGGCGAAGAAGTCGGCAATCTACAGAACCACGTTATGTCCGTTCGCATCCATCGCAGTGCCTATCGTGAAGTCCAGGTCCAGAGAGTCTTCAATGCGCGTTGCTGCTAACACGTGTTAGGCGCTAGCGTCCGCTGTCCCTGGCCGTTGACCCCACACCCGTGGAGTTCCCTTCCGAAGCGGGAGGAACGTCCGGCAATTAGGAATAGGCAGACCAGGGTAAGCGTCCTTGACAGGAGAAATCATCATTTCCTGACCTAGACTTCTGGGTCGGTGCGGAACGCAACGGGGAAAGCGTTCTCACTCCGCGGATGCGTGTTGCCACAACTTCCACGGATACCACGATGAACGGCGAAAGATTGAAAGCGACTGAAGCAGGCTGTATACATGCCGCTATGAAATACGTTACTTCGAAAGAAACACGACCACCAACGCTACTGAGCTCACGGATCCATGAGCGCTGTTGTCGGTCTCCAGGTCCCAATGGTTCCGTCCCGTGGCGCAAATTGCAACCTGCAAGGTACCCTAGAAGGACCCGTATGATCTACGTGCCGGACCGAATGAAAGCATTGTTTTCCAGACCAAGAAGGGATCAACCACCGCGACTACTGAACACCACCTGTTTGGTAAGTATCTCGCCAATGGTTTTTCGTCCGAGGTAGAAGTCTTTCGGCATTGCAAGCCACCACCGGAAAATAGGGGGATGCCGACCTACGCGGTTCGTAAACGATATAAAGGTCAGCAAGGCTGCACAGGGTAGGATCAAGCAGGCCACTTTACAGCCTCTGTCATTCTTTCTTTAAATACCCACCCGAACAGCAAAGTAATACCTAATCACCATGTTCTTCCCCCGCGTAATTGGCTACACAGTCGCAGCCTTCGCTTCCCTTGCGGTGGCTGTCGACCTAACTGGCTATGAGTACGTAGTCGTCGGCTCTGGTGCAGGTGGTGGTGTAAGTTCAAGAGTACCTGACTGGATGTAACAAATACTGACCATTTCCAAAGCCTCTGGCCGCCCGCCTTGCCCTTGCCGGTCACAAGACGCTTCTTATCGAAGCCGGTGACGACCAAGGTGCCAGCCAGAACTACACCATTCCTGCTTTCAACGCCAGGGTTTCCGAAGACCCCAACCTGAGCTGGAACTTCTACGTCAAGCACTACGCCGATGAGCAGCGTCAAGCTCGTGACTACAAGACCGTTTACGAGACTGTCGATGGAGGCGAGTACACCGGTCTCAGCCCACCTGAGGGTTCCACCATGAAGGGTACGCTTTACCCTCGTACCGGTACTCTCGGTGGATGCACAGCCCACAACGCTCTCATCGCCGTCTACCCTCACCAGTCTGACTTCGACAATGTTGCCTCCATCACTGGTGACGACTCTTGGTCCGCCAAGAACATGCGCAAGTACTTCGAGAAGCTCGAGCACAACCACTACCTCCTCCCCGGCCAGAAGGGTCACGGCTACGAGGGATGGCTCGGAACCTCGTACGCCCCCATCGACATTGTCACCTCTGACCCCAAGCTTCTCAGCTTGGTTGGCGGTGCCGCTTTCGCCCTATCCAACATGACAAACGCTATTGTCAACCTTGGTACTCTTATTGCTGGTGATGCCAACGCCGACACCGAGAGCCGTGACAAGTCCAACGCTCTCTACCAAATTCCTCTCTCCACCACCGACGGCAAGCGCACTGGATCCCGCGAGTTCGTTCTCGCTGTCCGTGACGCAAAGAACGAGGACGGCAGCAAGCAGTACCCTCTCGATGTCAGACTCAACTGCCACGTTACCAAGATCACCTTCGACCAGGACGTTACTCCTCCCCGCGCTACCGGTGTCGAGTTCCTCGACGGCCAGTACCTCTACAAGGCCAGCCCCAAGAACACCGGCGCAGCTGGTGAGCCCGGTTCCGCCACTGCCTCCAAGGAAGTCATCGTCGCCGGAGGAACTTACAACTCTCCCCAACTTCTCAAGCTCAGTGGTGTCGGCCCAGCCGACGAGCTGAACAAGTTCGACATCCCCGTCGTTGCTGACCTCCCCGGTGTCGGAACCAACCTCCAAGACCACTACGAGATCAACGTCCAGGGCAAGGCTCCTTCCGACTTCTCCGCCCTAAACGGCTGCACCTTCGGCAACACCGACGACGACGCCTGCATCGACCGCTGGGAGAAATCCATCCTCGGCAACCGCGGCATCTACGCTTCCCCCGGTCTCGGCGCCACCATGTTCTACAAGTCCAGCGTCTCCGAGCGCGACGAGTACGACATCTTCGCCTTCGGTGGCCCCGTCAACTTCCGCGGTTACTTCCCCGGCTACAGCTACAACGCCACCTCCGAGCACGACTGGTTCACCTGGGCCATCCTTAAGGCGCACCCGCGCAACAACGCCGGAACCGTTGCGCTCCGCTCTGCCGACCCTCTCGACGTCCCTGAGATCACTTACAACTACTTCGACACCGGTGTCGGTGACTACGAGAAGGATCTCACTGCCCTCACCGAGGCCGTCGACCTCGCCCGT